TAAAAAAAGAGTCATTCGCGAGTCATTTTGTTAATTTTGATACGCTTGTTCCGAATTTGATACATATTATGTTATTTTTACGTTAGGACGTAGTTTACAAAAAGTTAGCAAACGAGAATAATTTTATTGGCGGCAGGCGTGACAGACTGTCCGGTCGGCCACAATAACAATCTGAGACAGCCTTGTGCGTTCAGCCTTGAGACTGTCTGTTACTAGTGTTACCCGCTGGTGATAAAATTCTCGTTCGTAAACTTTTACTACGCCTTAGCGTAAGAATTGATCAAAATTAACCAAATGACTGGCAGGTGGATTTTCCTTGCTGGGTTTTGAAGATCACAAAAAAGAAGTATTTTCGCTGAGATTGTATCATGTGTCATTTTCATATCCAGGAGCGGTTTGTTAACTGGGCAAGACCGGTGGTGCCGGTCAGATTTTTGTCAACTGAATTGTTGACTAGAGGTTTATTGCTGATGACGATTTTCATTCAGTTTTAAGTAAATCCAAACATGTATCAACATTCAAAAACACCTTGCTGATTTGAAGGCGCTCAAATAGACAAGTGGGATTCACTGCTGTTTTGTCGCGACATAACCTCATTCCTTCGCGTTTGTTATCGCGCCGGCTCGTAACTTTAAATCGTCCCACGTCAAACCGTCACGTCGCGGAACTTCGTACCACGTACGAGACCAAACACACGGCGGGCTTGGCTTAGGCCTAGCGATGACGTCAGTTCCATGGACAAATCCATCGTCAGCCCACAGAAAGATTAGTATATCCCTTAATTGCCAGATTGGCCTCTTTGAAGCTTACAAAATTAAGAATGAGACTGTCTTGAGCAGCACAGACACATGTATTATTTTATCAGCAAAACATGTATTTTTATCATTCAGCCTTTCTCTAACTACTATCAGAACATTTATTGTCAGCATGGCACTACTCTTTTTTGTTTATTGATCTTTTAACCACCTATAGTTTCTGTTTGGCATTTACTCATCGTTTTCTCCCCACTAATAACTTACCTGGCCCTTAGGAGTCTGGCCGGCGAAAGAAGGAACCGTCTAGTGAAGATATATTATAAGGAAAATTTTAACGAGGAGCGATAGACACTCGGCTGTCAGAGTCTGGGCCGAAAACCCCCTCTCTTCCCTCCCCTTTTCAACCCTCACCCAGCTAGACACCAAGTTCTGTAATTAGCATTTGACACACTTCCCCACTTTGTTACAACACAGTATTCAGTGTTCAGTTCTGAGAACTGAGAAGTGCGATGAAGTACATTTGATGATATAATGATCGGAAACGTGTGTGCTTTGTCCAGCTTTGTATAGCATCTGATTGTAGACTTGATCTGCTTGGGACAGCGTCACTGGTACAGTAGCAATTGACTTTTTGTCATCATACAGGACAGTTCTTATTACATATATTTAACGGGTTCAGTGCACGTCGATATTTTGTGTGTGGGGGTGTAGAAAGTAAGAGTAAAGTACTGTACTGGAGGCCAGGACCAGCGGTTTAAAATTGCTTCTCACTTTCAGCTTGTTTTGTAGCTTAGACTCAAGTAGTGTGTTTCTTTTTCTGTGCCGATCAAATGAGTTTCTATTAATCCCAGTAACTTCCATCTTACATTATTCATAATATTATTGTTTCTTGACGCTACCGCATATTTTAGCTCTTTCACATGATTACAATGTTTACTGTGGTGTGTGTGTGTGTGTGTGTGTGTGTGTGTGTGTGTGTGTGTGTGTGTGTGTGTGTGTGTGTGTGTGTGTGTGTGAGTGGGGGGGGGGATGGCGAACATAGGGGTATAAAATAAGGAGAGAGAGAGAGAGAGAGAGAGAGAGAGCATGTGTGTGTGTGTGTGTGCGTGCGTGTGTGTGTGTGTGTGTGTGTGTGTGTGTGTGTGTGTGTGTGTGTGTGTGTTGTGAAGGAAGGGGGTGGGGGAGGGAAAAGTAGTCGACGTGAATGACCGCCGGTCAGTTCTATTAACCACGAGCCGCCACTGTTCATATCACAAAGAAGACGGCAACTGTCAGTTTTAACTGAACGTGTAATATATGAAAGGAAAGCTTTAGTCTCACGCGGTATCCATTTTGAACCACTTAGTAAGTACGAGATGAAATCGAATAATTCAAAAAATGAGACTCCATATTTTTAGCTACAAACATTTAACAATTTTTTTCGAAGTCTCGACGTGAACTTTATAAAAAAGCCAAAACTAAAACCGAACACCCCAAAATGAGGATTATTTGACCCCTCTTTATAGAATGTACATGTGCCACTCACATTTTTTTAAATGTATGAAATGTGGCCAGAACAACATAATATAATAATAATAATATGACAAACTGACGCTTCAGCATAAGCAAAGTGAATCATGTATAGACTGCCGGTTACGACATGAAAACTAGACGCGCAGCCGTTCAAATAGTATACAAAAGCCGATTTTGCACCGCTATTGCTGCTCTTGAGGTCTTAGGATTGCAGACATTCACCATTTATCAAATCAATATTCTATCAACTAAGAAACCACCTTACTATGTAAACAGGTCGGATATACAATGTAGTAATATTTCATTTATTAGCTCTCGCTATCGATAATCGGAGCAGGTTAACGGGCTTGAGTCAATAGAGACTTGTGACTTGTGACACACATTTATTCGCTTGCTTGGCTGGTGCTGAAAGCTTGACAGCTTTGACTCGAAATTCACTCTCGTTCTCAAAGAAAAGCTCAGTTCGGTGCATCGGGTTTATGTGAGATATTGATATATATTAATTATTAATATGAGATATTGAGAGACAGGGGTGTGGTTTCGCTTCATGGTCTCTTCTAATAGTCGTACGCGTGGGTGGTTGGCGAGTGCTCTGGTGTGATTTACTCCTTAATATAGGCTACTATCAAGCATCTATGGTATTTTCAACCATCATTATCTCTACTCGGTTTTTTTTCTTTTTTCTTTTTCTTTTTTGTTTTATTTCATTTTATTTTATTTTTATTTTATTTTATTTTATTTTTTAAAATTAAAACATTATTTTTTTTGGTTTTCGTTTTGTTTTTGTTTTTTGGGGAGAGGGGTCTTTTCCCCCCCCCCTTGTTTTTGTATGTTGCTTTCTGCAGTGTAGTAACGCCTCTAAACACCTGCACTCAGATCTATGACCAATTTGTGTTGAGGCCGTGCTATTGACTGAAGTGTCTTTAGGCCATTCCTAAAGGGGGGAGGGGGGTATTAACATGTTCTTATGCACAGAAGGATTGTAAATTGGTTGATTTATCCATGTCATGCTCATACTGTGCCGGAACAACATAGGGGGGACAGCTGCTTTTTCTTTCCTCATCCTTACTATCGTCATTTTTCCTCTACTTCTTTTGTATGTTTGCCACTCTCTTGTGAACTGCTATTTCCGGGGTGCCTGGATAGTCGAAACAGACTGTGTGCTGTTGAGGCTAGAGAGGTGAGCAGAGTAAGCCTGATTCCCCGTTTGGACTTCTCTCAGTTGACATCCACCCCTTGGCTCTCATAAGACCTTATGCAGCTGCGAGCGCCGTAAAACCTTACTAAAACAAACAATACAATGACATGTTAAAATTTTGTTGCACTCTTCTTTGGCAAGACCCTGGAAGTTGTCGTTGGCGCGCACGCACTCGTGTGTTTATGTGTGTGTGTGTGTGTGTGTGTGTGTGTGTGTGTGTGTGTGTGTGTTTGTGTGGGGGGGGGGGGGGGGTGTCTGCTGTTCTTACAACGGCTCATGAGGTTCCGAGATCCAAGTGGCCACTCGGGGGCTCTTTGTTTGATCCCTAAATGAGAAAGGTAACTAAACTGGTGAAAGGGCTCGCCTGGGAACAATTTTCCCGACACCGACTGTTCAAGAAGATACGCATTTTTTGCATTCAGTCAATCCATATGAACATTGACTTATTCAAATTGGAGCCACAGAGAAGCAAACAGCGCTGGCTGCAGAGTTTTCGCTCGTTGTCACTGTAGTTATAGTAACAGAACTAAGAAAAGTGGAAATTGTGACTGTGATGGAACTGTGGTTTGTTTCCTGTTCGCAGGCAGAAATACTTTGAGCGTCTGTATTTTACCGTGATTCTGATAATAATACAGTCGGACATGTATTTATTTACAATTCCAATGAACGTCTAGTAATACATTGGTTATTTCTCGTATGATTTCGAAGGGTTTGAATTGACAACATTCTTCACACAATAATGAACCAATGTCAAAATTTTATTTTTTAAGTCTCTCGTCAAATACAACACAAGTTCATTTCATTGTTAAAACAGACAAAATGTTTAATTGTATCTTTTGTTCAGCAATAGTGTTATGTTTTTCATGCAAAAGAGAATGCAACATGTTATATCAAAGTGTCATGTAGCCTCCCCCCG